AAGGTAATAGAAGAGGTGGCTGGGGAGATGAAAAAAAAAAAAAAAAAAGGTAATAGAAGAGGTGGCTGGGGAGATGACTCAGTGGAATAAGTGCTTCCCTGGCAAGCACAAGGGCCTGAGTTCAATCCCTGGTTCTAAAAAAAAAAAAAAAGAAGAAGAAAATGCCCCAATAAAGAACACTACAACCCTAGAATTGAAGATACTCAACAGATCACCAACAGAATAATGTTATTACAAACCTAGACACACTTACGTTGAAACAACACCATCAAGAAAATAAGTATACATTTTCTAGAAAGTTCATGTCCACTTGAGATTATATCATCCCCCTAACTTGTTTTAGGGCTACAATTTTAATGAAAGAGCAAAGGAGATGGGTGTAATTTTAGAAAAAAAGGAGACTTAACAATCTGGCCCTAAAGTTTTTATGGAAATAGAAAAAGCCAGCGACAGCCCCCAAAAGAGCCAACCTTATATGGAAACAGTATTATCTTAGCATTGGTGAGGAAAAATATTCTTCAACAATGGTACTGTAAGTAAATTACAGGTATAAGGCAAACAAAATTTTCAGAAGGAAAAAAAAAACCTCACATCCTTGAGGTAACAAAAGCATAAACATAAAGTAATAATTTAACTGCATTAAAAGATATTCCTGGGCCAGGGATATATCTCAGTGGCACAGTGCTTGCCTGGTAAGCACAAGGTTCAGTATCAAAGTTTTGAGTATCAAAGTCCTCACCATCAAAAAAAAAAGATAGGCTTAATTGAGAAAACATAATAAAGACAAGGCAAATCATTCAGAACCCCTTGTTTCTCTCTCAAACAAAAGCTTTTTCCCCCCTCAATAAATATATTTTGCTTAAAAAAAAAAAAAGCGAAGACAAGCTAGACATATAACATAGCTAACAAACTGAAAGACAAACCTACTATAAAAATTGAAGACTTCACAAATGTATGAGAATATGCTCCAACTAATTAAAAATCAGAAGAATGAAAATTAAAAGCTATGAGAACATAATTATTTCATACAAAGCTAGCAAAAATGAAAGCTAATGGTAACAAGTGTAGAGAATACCATCAACTCTTTTAAGTTGCAACTATGATTAGTATTTTCCTAATTTCCTTACCAGGAAATTCTTTGTAGACTTCTAATTTTCAACTCCCTATTTTAAAACCAGATATAAGGCACATGTGTCAATGTGCCGTGACTGTGAAGAACTCCTAACCACTGTAATTTTTCCAACTCCAGGCTCTCAAGGACAAACTTCCACCCTTTTAAAGGTCCTTCATGGCAACCATTTTGGAAAACTATGTGGCTTCAGATACTCCCTTACAAGGTAATTTTACCTGTAGGTATGTACTTTAGGTGATTTCTATAATTTAACAGTCAAGCTACAGCAAAATTTAAAGAGCAAGTAAAGCAAATACAGATTTCAAATACTGACAGACAATATGGTTTCTATCTCCGGTATCACACACACTAAAAAAGTATTGACAAAAGCCAGATGGTGACGCACACCTATGATCCCAGCACTCAAGAGGCTGAAGCAGAGAATTCAAAAAGCCTGGGCTACAGTGTGAGTGAAAGGACAGCCTGAACTGCATAGCAAAACCCTGTCTCAAAAAGACAAAAAAACAAAAACAAGTACATGGGAACTTTCACAAATATTTTGAGTAGCAAAATAAAATGCTTGGCTAAATGTCCTAAATTAAAGAAAGACTTAAGTATTTTTCTTATAAGAATCACATCAAAATAATTTTAAAAGCAAGGAGATTTGTATGTCTTACAACAAGCAAAAAATAAGTCACTGAACTTACCTCTACATTTTCATCTCCCATTTCTTGAGGGGTATCAGTATCTGGCTCAATTACACCTTCATTGTCGATCTCTGCCAAAATTGATAAAATAATAGTAAAACCTGTGTTGGACAATATATATAGTAGCTACTACAAAAGTACATGAAACTATCATAAATACCTTTTTCTTTGGTTTTGAGAGACAGGGTCTTGCTATGTAGTACAGACAGACTGGCCTTGAAACTCACTCCACTGCAGAGACTGGCCTTAAATTTGCAATCCTACTTCAGCCTCCCAAGTACTGAGATTACAAACACATGCCACTATACCCTGCCAAAAACTAATTAAAAATCAACTATGGAAAGTGCAACTGAGATGAGTATTTTAACTCTTAAACAGTAAGGTGTTATAAATGTTTCACTATTAAACACAAGTTTACCCGTTTTTTTTAAGACCATCTTGTTTGACACTTTTCACTGGACTGTAGTGAAAAGGTTGGAATGTATAGTCTACTATTACACATAAATACAGCACTGAGTTAGCCTCAACAAAATGATTCAGTTCAAATGATTCTTTTCTGCATAATGATGCACTACAATGTTGTTTTCAAAAGCTATTTACGCAGATAAAGCAATTCATTAGTACTAATGTAAACATTTTAATAATTATTTTCATTTTTAAAAAAAGGATCAAGGGGCCAGAGAGATAGCTCAGTGGCTTAAGTGCCTGCCTGGCATGAGTAAGGTCCCGAGTTCTATCCCAGGTATCCCCCAAAAAACAAAAAAAAAACCCCAGTATCAACCAAAGCCCCGAGGTTAGTATTATAACCTAAAATAGTAATGAACAAAAAGAAGTACAATGCAAATTTCATGTTGAAAACAACATATATAAAAACATTTTAATGTTAATCAAGTAAAATCAGAATTAGCATCCCTCCTAAAGAATTTTTCTTTTTTTTTTTTTTTTTTGGTACTAGGGATCAAACTTGGGAATGTGCACTTGCCAGGCAGACGCTTATGCCACTGGGCTATCTCTCTAGCCCCTGAAGAATTTTCTTCATGGACGAATGGTTAACACACACACTATATATTTATATTTAAAACCCACAATTTAGTGCTTTTTGTTTTGCTTTTGAGTACTAGGGATTGAAGCTAGAGACCTCAAGCCTTGCCCATCCTCTAACCTATGACACTAAGCATCCAAATGAGCTACTGTTGTAAAAATTAAACTACCATCTTTCTCTTTTTTTCTTAATGAGAAAAGATTTTAAGTACCATATGTTAACTATAGTCACCAGGCTGTTACTAGATCTCTGTAACTTAATGAGCTTATTTTTTTCAGCTCTCTCTCTGTCTCTGTCTCTGTCTCTGTCTCTGTCTCTGTCTCTCTCTCTTCTCCTCCCTCCTTCACCACCCCCCATCTTTAGTACCAGCAAATGAACTCAGGACCTTGCACTTGCCAGGCAGGTGCTATATCCCCAGCCTTGTTTTTTGTCTTTTTGAGACAAGGTTTCACTATGCAGCTCAGGGCTGAACTCCCAATGATTCCCTTGCCTCAGCCTCTCAAGTGCTGGGATTACAGGTGAGTGTCACCACACCCAGCCCTTAATCAGCTCATAACTGAAAGACTACACTTGCAAAAGAGCACAACACATTTTTAATCCACTTTAAAACTTTCTAATTATGAAATAGGTTGATTTTCTGCATATAATGCTTTTTGATGGAGCATTGGTAAAAATTATTATTGAAGATACAAAAATTGTAAGTCTAAAAGGCATTTCAGAAAAAAGTGGAGGGGCTGGGGAAGATAGCAGTCTAAGCACCTGCCTGGCAAGTGCAAGGATCTGGGTTCGATCCCTGGTATCACATGCCGTGCTTGACCTGCATTGAGCCAGCCACTGAAACCAGGCATCGTGGTGCATGCACATAATCCCAGTGCTTGGGAAGCTGAGACAGGAAGACTACTGTAAGTCCAAATTGCACACCAAGACCCTATACCAAACAAATACAAGATTTTTTTAAATTTTAAAGAAAAAAGAAAAAAATGGAAAGATCATCCAAGAATCCCCTAACCTAACAATATCAAACATCAACTGATTTGAGGGACATGGTGGCACACACCTGTTATTCCAACACTTGGGAGGCTGAGGCAGAAACATCATGAGTTTGAGGCCAACCTGCACTACACAGGGAGACCCTGTCTCAAAAAAACAAAATAAAATAAAGCAGAAATTAAGCTGATTCAAAGGGCTGGCGAGACAGCTTAGTGGACTAAGTGACTGCTTAGGCAAGGGCAAAGACCAGGATTTGACCCTGGTACCACATGCAGTGCCAGTTCTGGAATTCAGGGCACATTGTGCTGGCCACCCAGAGTATGGTGGTGCATGCCTGTAATCCCAGCGCTGGGGAAACTGAAAATAGGAGGATCACTATGAGTCCAAGCTGCATAGTGAGACACTGTACCAAATACATAAAAATAAATTGACTCAAATTAGATAAATTCCAAGTATTTTTATTCAGCTTTTAATAGTTTCTGTGACATAAAAGACTACCCCATTATATTTGCATTTAACATTCCTTGATTATTAAGCTGAAAAACTCACAGCATGAGCATCAATTCTTCTAAATATGAACCAGTTTTGTTAGCATGGACGCAAGAAATAAAGAAAGATAATTTGTTACTAATCAGTTATTAGGAAAACTTTAAAGTATTTTTAGCTGGGCATGGTGGTATACCCTAACACTCCTAAGACTAAGGCAGGAAGCCTGGCAGAGTTTGAGGTCAGCCTGGACTACACAGCAAGACCCTGTCTCAAAAAAAAAAAAAAACGTTTAGAACAACTTGGGGTATGTCACCCAACTTTTTCAAACACAGATGTCATGAGCTCTGGATTATTTGCAATGAAATCTAACATCTTAATTCTGAAGGGTTAATATAAAACAGGAGAAAAATAAAACTTTGCATAATTTATGATTGTTAAGTGGATGTTAATATTTAGACCAAAGTACCATTCATTGGTTTAGGTAAAAAATATACATACACTGAATTTATTTCATCATCTTCCTTTTACCTTTTAAAATGCAGTTACTAGAAAACTGAGTTTCACTCATAGCTCATTAGTACTTTTCTTTTTTTTGCCGGAACCGGGGATAGAACTCAGGACCTTGCACTTGCCAGGGAAGCACTTATTCCACTGAGTCATCTCCCCAGCCCCTTATTAGTACTTTTCTGAGACAGAGTTTTGCTATGTAGTTCAGGCTAACCTTGTACTCACTATGTAGTCCAGGCTGGCCTCAAACTGACAGCAATCTTCCTACCTCAGCCTCTCAGGTTATAGGCATACATCACCACACCTGATTTCATTAATATTTTTACTAGTGCTGATACAGTTAATTTCATAAAAGTCAACACAGGTTCAGATAAAGTTATTAAATACAAACTACTGAGTCCTCACCTAAATCACTTTCTTCACTTGATGGCTCATCTGTCTTTATGTTTTCCCCCATCTTCTTACTATCTGCATTTTCTTCCTAGCAAAGAGAAGACAAACAGTGCTGTTAGTGTTTAATAACATATCCAATATATTCACACCAACTTTACAAATTTATGAGTAACTTTACATGCACTATATTTCAGTTATTAATGTTCCCCTGGTTCATTCTGGTAATTTATTTCTCCTTTTTAATTACAGCTCTAGTCCTATATCCAAACCTTTAAGACAATGCATTTTAGCACTTAAAAAGTTCCTGGATTTCAGGACGTCTGTAGATACCACATACTATGTAACACCTTAACAGGAAATGCTGCCTTTAACTCTTCACAACCAACCAGATTATTTCTGCAAAACAAAGTTTGAACATTCCTAACTTGTAGAATACAGAGTACAAACAGCTTGGTACAGTGGTGTGCCTATAATCCCAACTATCTGGTGCGGGGTCTCATTACACAGCTCAGACTTGCAGTTATTCTCCAATTTCAGTCTCCCTAGTGCTGGGATTACAGGCCTGTGCCACTACAACCATTCTGGTGACTGGTGTGACAGGCCCAGAGTGGGGACAACACACCATGTGGTACTGAGGACTGAACCTGGGTCCCTGAGCTTGCCAAGCAGTTACTTAGACTGCTGAGCTATTTCTCCAGCCCTATAATCCCAACTACAAGGGAGACTGAAGCAGAAAGATTACTCGAGCCAAAAGTTGGGGGGGGGGGGCGACCTTTGAGGCCAAACTGGGCACAAGCTCAAAAAATACCAGACTAAATAACCTCATGTCCACTCAGATGTTTTACTGCCAAATTTACTTTACAAGAGATTTTTCAGCTTGGGAATTGCAAATAAGTCTTTTTTTTTTTTTTTTTTTAATTTTAGGGAAGGGTCTATAGCATGTTCAGGGTCTCACTACTAGATCGGAATCACAGCAATCCACCTGTTTACAGTCTCTCAAGAGCTGTTACAGGTATGCACCACCATACCCAGTCTCAATTGCCATTTCAGTATGCCCCAGGGGTAAGCCCTACAAATAAGGGTCTGAATAATAGTATTAAAAAAAAAAAAAGTTAATAGAATGTAGAAGTGCATACTATGGAAAGCAAAATTTTCTTCCCATGCTAAAAGTCACCAGTATGGTTTCATGTATATCCCATTCCTGAATATTCTCTCCCTCCACCCCCTTTTTTTGATAATGGGACCCTACGCTTGCCAGGTAGGGACTTACGCTGCTGAGCTATCTTCCCTGCAGCTGGATATTCTCTATGTACGTAGAGACTTATGTACTTTGCCTTTTCCACCTAACAATGCTGTTTATCTTGGAGTACACTATTATCAACTCATCTGCATCTATTCATTCAACTGTGCATCTGAAATTATTTTAGGTTCCTTCTCCTTTTGTTCTTTTACAATTTAACTCAAAGTTCCATCTTATTATAAAATACTGTGAGTCCCTAACAAACATGCAAAACAATACATTTTAGCATATACTGAAACAATACATTATAATTCTTTTTTAAAATTTTAATCTTTATTTGGTACAGGGTCCCACTATGCAGGTTGAACTCAGTGACCTTCCTGTCTCAGCCTCCCCAGTAATGGGATTACAGGCATGTGCCACCACGCCCAGTTTCTGTGACTGGCACGGCATGTGGTACAGGGGATCGAACTCGGGTCCTTGTTCTTGCCAGGCAGGTACTTAAAGACTGCCAACCTATCTTCCCAGCCCAGACACATTATAATTCTAAAAGAGCTCATTTTATTAAAACATATTTTTACCAGAGACATAGATAAAACAAATTTGCCTCCATACAGTGATCAAATGGAAAATGGGGAAAAATGGATAAAAATGTAATGAATGACATCTAAAAAAGGGTAACTACTTTATGGGTCTGTAGCTTTTCTCATTTTACTTGTTCATAGCTGTAACTTCTATTTTAATGTCCACAACACACAAAAACAGCAAATTTTCTAATTAAACATTTAGGGAAAAAAAATTATTCCAGTATGAAAGCAGAAAATGGGAGAAATGAAACATATGGTTAAGTCTTGGACTTCTGAATTCCATTTCAGGAGAACATTCGTAAGTTGGATCCGTCTGTAAGACCAACACTCAAATATTCATTAAGTCCCCACATTAAATAGTTCTTTCAGTTAGACTTGTTTTGAAACAGGGTCTATCTTTCGTAGGATGGTCTCAAATTACTGGGGCTCAAATGCTCTTCCTATCTCAGCCTTCTGTACTGGATTACAGGCATGTCCAATCTAAAGAAATTTTAAACATATTTATCATAGGATCTCACTACACAGCTTGAACTCATAGTGATTATCCTATTTTTCAGCCTCTCCAGAGCTGGGATTACAGGCGTGCACCACAATACCCAGACTGTGTGGCCCACTCAGCACACATGGGAGCGGTGCTGGCTAGGTATGTAGTGCCAGGGATCGAACCACGGTCTCTGCACTTGCCTAAGCAGGTCCACTGAGCTATCTTGAGGCCCAGAAAGAATTCTTAAAAGTGCATTTCTTCCACCTCTAAACTATCTACTATCAAACCTCACCTCGTTTTACTTACCCTTCTGCCCAATATGCTAAAGTCACACCATAATTCATATTCAGAATCACCCTTCAGGCTTAGGGCAGAAAGCTGAGAACCACTTACTTTGAATGCTTGTTCATTTACATTGTTGAGTGTAAGCCAATGACTGAGCTCTGAGCTAAGCACTAAAACATTTTAAGACAGTTAACATCCTACTCCAAATTTTCACTTTTTAATCCACTTCCAGAGGTTTAGTATACACACAGAAATTTTACAAAGACAGAAAACTCTTAAAATTAGCTTATTTCCAAATATTGAGGAAATTGGCAGTGGTATTTAAGAACAAAAACATCTCCTAAAAAATTCTAGCAGTATTTTATCACTAAACACACAAATGAAATTAAAACTTACCTTGATATTTTCTTCTGATTTAGCTTTCTGAGTAGCAGGTGGAACTTTACCCCCCATGCTTAAAAGAAGAAAAAAATTGTTTAGCAAATTAAAAAACTTACTAAGTCAAGCAATATATTTATGCCTAAAAGATATTTAGAATTTTTTTCCAAAATTTAAATATTTCAATTAATTTGAATGTTTTTACATTGTAATTGATTTTTTTTTAAAAAAATTATTTATTTTGTGTGTGTGGCCAGTTCAGCCCACCAGGGGGCGGGGCTGGCTGGCATGTGGTGCTGGGGGATTGAACCGTGGTCCCTGTGCTTTGCTTAGCTTAGTTTGTTCTAAGTAGGTGTTTTAGACCACTGAGCCATCTCACCAGCCCTGTAATTGATTTTTTAATCCACTTAAAATTTTTATTTTTAGCATTTTGGTTACCTGTTCTTTCCTTTATAAACCTAACAAAGCTCAACATGGTAGTACAACCCTCTAATCCTAGCACTGGAGAAGCTGAGGCAGAAGGATCACTGTGAGTTCAAGGCTAGCCTGCGCTACACAGTAAGTTCAAATCCAGCCTGAACTACATAGTGAGACCCTATGAAAACCAACCATAATTATATAGCTTCTCTATGCCCATTCTCAGAGGAAAAATAAAAAGCAAAGATGTCAACAGGCAACAACAAAATTACTGTTAGCTTAGACTGCAGTAGTTATTCTGGGCATAGTGACACACACCTATAATCCCTGTACTCAGGAAGGCTGATGCAAGACAATGTCAAGTTTGAGCTCAACCTGGGCAACTAATTTAAAAAGGGCCAGGGAAGGGGTGGAGAGGGAAGGGACCTTCACTTCAGAGGTACAGCTATACTGCCAAAACAAAACAGCCCAAAGGTGCAGACCAAGGTTTCAGGTGCAGACCTACAAAGATTGTTCTTAGCCCTCACATTATAGATTCTTACCTCATCTTCTCTAAACTACACTCATTAACATTCTCTCTTGTCCTTACAAACCCGTCTTTTTCAAATACTCCAAAGCAACCCAATGAATTACATATGACAAAAACAAAAACAAACTCAGAACTAATGTTATGTGCTCTTTTGGTATTGATGCTGAAGCAAATGGGCTGTATGCCAATGGTGCACTGGCTTAAGTCACAAAAAAAAACCCCAGCAGCCTCAACATAAAGCCCTTAATTTCTGTATAAATCAAGGATATTGTGCCTTGGAAAACACAGAAAGGGATTGCTTCTAAAAACACCCTTGAGACTTTGAAACTTTCATAGCTATGGTTGTTATATTCACATTTACATTCATTTCAGTTAGGTGGAGGAATATGTGGGAATAGGCTATATGTAGATTAAATATAAGTGTGCGTCAGTTTTCCAATTTACACTTATCAGCAAGGTATGAGAATTCTACCTGTTGGTCAACACAGCTGTTGTTCACTCTTGAGCAGTTGTTTTTGCTCTTCCTTTTTTTTTTTTTTTTTTTTTCTATTTGTGAGGGAGGGGTGTTCAGGCTGTACAGGGTCTAAGCTTTGTTTTTCCTTCTTCTTTTTGCGGAACCGGGGATTGAACTCAGATCCTTGCGTTTGCCAGTCAAGCGCTTATCCTACTGAGCCATCTCCCCGGCCCCTCATTCTTAAAATTGTTACCCTTTCTCACAGGTGTGTAGTGGCACCTTATTGTGTTGAGCCATTTATTCATAAATGTATTGGCCATTGTACAGAAAGTTCAATTCTACTCCAGTTTTCTATTAGGTTGTCTTTATTTGTACATATTCTTCTTATATTCACCATGAGTCCTCTCTATCAGTTTTTTGGTGTGCTTGCCAGGAAGGTGGTTATGTCATTGAGCTATATTCCAGGCACTCTGGTAAATTTTATATACTGCAAACGTTTTCTCTCACTCTGTGATTTGGCCATTCACCCTTCTAAAATCTTTTTAGCAGTACTGGCAAGTAAAACCAGGGCCTTGCACTTTGCCCATATCCCCCAGCCAGATGGCCTTTTTCACTATGACATAGGGACTTCCTAAATTGCAGAGGCTGACCTTGAACTTGTGATCCTGGGGCTACAGGCAATTACAGGCATCCATGACAGAGCCCACCTGTCTTAATATCCTTTGATGAATTTAACACTGAACATATATGCAATACAGCAAATGAAATGAAAATTTGGAATCTTCCAAGCACCATTTGCTCAAGAAAAAATGTACACGCTTTTTCTTTTTTGGTTTTTTTCTGTGTACACACTTTTTGTACTCTATTTAATATGCTATTACTAAAACTCTTCAAATTATTCAATATCCTGAAAAAGATCATTTGTAAATATGACATAGCACAGTTAAAATGATTTAAAGAAATGCACATCTAAAAATAACAAAATTCAGGCAATCCACTCCCATCCCCTTCTCTCCTGTCACCCTATCGAACAGAAGCTTTCTTTCCCCCAATAAACATATTCTGCTCTTACAAATTAAAAATAAAAAAATAAAAAATTATTTTCAATAGGAAAATCTTTTCAAAAGCAGACAGTAATCAAACACTAGCTCCTTGTAGTTAAATTTTAATGAAGACACAGGACTTCTTAAGCTGTGTTTTTCCTGTTTCAAAATGAAGCATTAGGAATGTATTTAGGGTAACATCCAAACGTAGTCTCAACAGTCTAACACTGTGAAGTGGTATTCCTGCCAAGAAATGTAGTAAGCTAAATCTAATGCTAAGAAAAGATATGACAAGCCCAAATTAAGCAGAAATTTTAAAAGACGGCTGACTTGTAATACTCAAACTGTGAATATGAGCAAAAATCTGTTTTACAACAGGGCAGAAAATAAGAAACATGACAACTAAATGTGACACGTGGCCCTGTGTGGTGATGCATGCCTACAATTCCAGCACTTAGGAGGCTGAGGAAGGATTGGGAGAATTTGAGACCAGCATAAGTTGGAGGCTACATAAAGAGTTCAAATCCAGCCCAAACAACATGGTAAAACCCTGTCTCAAAGGGGAAGAAAAAAAAAAAAAAAAGCGCAACATACAATTCTGAGAATTACATACTATCAATACATCCATTTAGTCTCCTGAGTTTGACAGTTACACTGTTGCACTGTAGAGACTGTCTTTGTTCACAGAAAATACTCAGTGATGCTATGGCAGCTTACTCCTACTTTGTTCAGGAAAAATAAGTTGTTCTACTATACATGATTTTTCTCTGTGCTAGAAATTGTTCCAAAAATAAAAATTTAAGCACAAGAGGGTTTATTCATAAACTAGATCTAGAATTTCTCACATTCTAAATCATAGTCCATATTGGAAGTTAAAGCCCATTTAAAGGAACAGATGTTTCAAATAAAGGTTCCAAGATACAATAGTTTCCTACCAAATATTGCCATTTGGACTTTACAACAGACTTTTTATCATACCCTCAGGTAGAGCTAGTACAGAGATGTTCCTCACAGAGAATCGCAAGAATCTATCGTTCTCTCAATTTGAGAATTAAAACCTTCAATGTGCTTTGTACTAGTGTCATTTACACAGATGTCCAACAAACTGGGTGTTTTATTTTTAATTTTGTGCTGTAGAGACAAATGCAATCTTTTCACTTCTAAAATATTTACTAAAACCATGTGTCACACACTGCACTGGAGAGTAGAATACAAAGATATTGCACTGACTTTATCATCAAACAAATCAAATGAAAATACACACAAGGGCCAAGGAGATAACTCAGCAGACTAAGCACCTGCCCGAGAAGAGCAAAGACCCAGGTTCAATCCCCTACACCATGCCATGCCAGCCCACCCTGTGTTGCCCTGAGTCAGCCAGCCACCAAAACCGGGTGTGGTGGTGCATGCCTGTAATCGCAGCCTTGGGGAGGCTGAGACAGGAGAATCACTATGAGTCTGAGCTGCATAGTGAGGCCCTGTACCAAACACATTAAGAAAAAAAAAAAAAGACAGAGATACTCCTCCGCCTCCTCTTCCTCCTCCTCCTCCTCCTCCTACTACTACTATTACCATTACTACCACTGCTAGTA